AAAGTTAGGCCCCGCCCACTACTTGAGGCCCCACCCCATTCAGATTGAAGGAAATTCGTTTTGAAAATTAGGCCACGCCCACCGGGTAAGGACACGCCCCCTCTGCCTATGGACACGCCCACTGGGTTAAGCCCCACCCTCCTGTATAGTTTGAAGGAATTTCATTCCTGTATTAGGCCACACCCACCAAATTAAGCCCCACTCCCACATGCAGATAAGGGAGAATCACTTCCCTGACTAAAGCCACGCCCACTTAATTAAGCCCCACCCCCTTATCGGGATAGGAAGAATTCCTTTCCTAAAGTTAGGCCCCGCCCACTACTTGAGGCCCCACCCCATTCTAATTGAAGGAAATTCGTTTTGAAAATTAGGCCCCGCCCACCGGGTAAGGACACGCCCCCTCTGCCCGTGGACACGCCCACTGGGTTAAGCTCCACCCTCCTGTACAGTTTGAAAAAATTCCATTCCTGTATTAGGCCACGCCCACCAAATTAAGCCCCGCCTTCACATGCAGATAAGAGGGAATCACCTCCCTGACTAAAGCCGCGCCCACTTAATTAAGCCCCACCCCCCTCATGTGGATTAGATTAATTCCTTTCCTAAAGCTAGGCCCCGCCCACTACTTGAGGCCCCACCCCATTCAGATTGAAGGAAATTCATTTTGGAAAATTAGGCCACGCCCACCGGGTAAGGACACGCCCCCTCTGCCCGTGGACACGCCCACTGGGTTAAGCCCCACCCTCCTGTATAGTTTGGAGGAATTCCATTCCCATAATAGGCCACGCCCACCAAGTTAAGCCCCACCCCCATATGCAGATAAGGGGGAATCAGTTTCCTCACTAAAGCCACGCCCACTTAATTAAGCCCCACCCCCTAATCTGGATAGGAAGAATTCCTTTCCTAAAGTTAGGCCCCGCCCACTACTTGAGGCCCCACCCCATTCAGAATGAAGGAATTTCGTTTTGAAAATTAGGCCACGCCCATCGGGTAAGGACACACCCACTTTGTCACTGGACACGCCCACTAGGTGTAACTCCACCCCCTGTAGTGTAAATTGGAGGAATTCGCTTCCTAACATAGGCCACGCCCATTGGTGAAGCCCCGCCCCTTAATGCAAATGTTATAAATTATTTTTCTAGAACTAGGCTCCACCCACCTGATAAGGACACGCCCATTTTGTTGNCACCATGGCAACGGCTCCCAGTGTCACCATTGTCACCAGTTCCAGTGCTACCAGTGCCGCCAGTTTGAGCAACGTCACCGCTCCCAGTGTCACCAGTGCCACCAGTGCCACCAGTTTGAGCAATGTCATCGGTTCCAGTGTCACCAGTATGAGCAATGTCACCGGTTCCAGTGCCACCAGTGTCACCAGTATGAGCAGTGTCACCGGTCCCAGTGCCACCAGTTTGAGCAATGTCACCAGCTCCAGTGTCACCAGTGCTACCAGTTTGAGCGATGTCACCGGTTCCAGTGTCACCAGTGCCACCAGTATGAGCGCTGCTGGTGTCACCGTCACCCCTGGTGTCACCAAGGCCACTGCCAGTGCCACCAGTATGACCAGTGTCACCATGGCAACGGCTCCCAGTGTCACCAGTTTGACCAGTTCCAGTGTCACCAATGTCACCAGTTCCAGTGTCACCAGTTTGAGCAATGTCACCGCTCCCAGTGTCACCAGTTTGACCAGTTCCAGTGTCACCGGTGTCACCAGTGCTACCAGTGCCAGTGTCACCAAGGCCACCGGTGTGACCAGTATGGCTGCTCCCAGTTTGACCAGTGCTCCCAGTTTGACCAGTATGGCTCCCAGTCTGACCAGTTTAACCAGTACGCCTGTGACGTCATCTCCCAGTGCTCCCAGTACCAGCATGGCGGCTCCCAGTATGACCAGTACCAACATGGCGGTTCCCAGTATGACCAGTACAACCATGACGTCATCTCCCGGTATGACCAGTATAACCAGCACCAACATGGCGTCGGCTCCCAGTGCTCCCAGTTTGACCAGTACGACCATGACGTCATCTCCCAGTACTCCCAGTATCAACATGGCGGCTCCCAGTACGTCCAGTATGTCCATGACGTCATCTCCCAGTGCTCCCAGTATCACCAGTACCAACATGGCCGCTCCCAGTACCAACATGGCGGCTCCTAGTGCTCCCAGTACCAACATGGCGGCTCCCAGTATGACCAGTACCACCATGACGTCATCTCCCAGCGCTCCCAGTATAACGATGACGTCACCTCCCAGCGCTCCCAGTATCACCAGTACCAACATGGCGACTCCCAGTAT